CTACGGAAAAGTCTTGATCCGAGTCTTGTCTCTCGACTGGGACGTGCCTCTTGCCCACACTACAGCCGTTTCCTTTTCAAGCCATGAAGTCGTCACCTCGTTTTTGACTTTCGCAATCCACCATCGCAGCAACACATTTCACCAGCAAGCCCGCACGACCGGCCACTACCCACTTAAGAAAGGGGTAGATTTTATTGATTGAGACCCCGGTGATCTAGTTATATACACCAGTCACTTAATCGAGAGATAGAAGTAGAACTTTATAATCAAAAATTTTCAAAACGCTCAATAGCTCGTTGTTAAAGTTGAATGTGATTGTTTACTTCAACAACAACCGTCGTCTAATTTTCAACTCCTCCACAATTTCCATGTTTGCAATAACTGTCTAATTTCCCGCACGCTGACTGGCTCATTTTTATCGTCAATAAGAGTACAAATGGATAAAATTTTAATTTATGCAAGCTTTAAGTTCAACTTTCAGCTGTCAAACTGTCAACTTTTTAANCTACGGAAAAGTCTTGATCCGAGTCTTGTCTCTCGACTGGGACGTGCCTCTTGCCCACACTACAGCCGTTTCCTTTTCAAGCCATGAAGTCGTCACCTCGTTTTTAACTTTCGCCATCCACCATCGCAGCAACACATTTCACTAGCAAGCCCGCACGACCGGCCACTACCCAGTTAAGAAAGGGGTAGATTTTATTGATTGAGACTCCGGTGACCTAGTTATATACACCAGTCACTTAATCGAGAGAGAGAAGTAGAACTTTATTATCAAAAATTTTCAAAACGCTCAATAGCTCGTTAAAGTTGAATGTGATTGTTTACTTCAACAACAACCATCGTCTAATTTTCAACTCCTTCGCAATTTCCATGTTTACAATAACTGTCTAATTTCCCGCGCGCTGACTGGCTCATTTTTATCGTCAATAAGAGTACAAACGGATAAAATTTTAATTTATGCAAGCTTTAAGTTCAACTTTCAGCTGTCAAACTGTCAACTTTTTAACCAA